GCCGCCTAGTTTTCTGGGCTGGTGACACTTCGGGGGTTTTTCTCCTGGGGAGGAACACCACAGTGGCGCCGTGTCAGGAGGGGACGTTAAGAGGGGGGCATCATCCTTGATGCCTGGGATTGAAGGTTTAGCAGAGATGAGGATCTGTGTCAGGCCAAAAAGATGTGTTTGGGAGAAGAGCTGGCTGGACAGCCCCATGGCCACATTTCATGGTTAGGGACTTTCAGGCCTGGGTGCCGTAAGGCCTGACTGCCAAAACGGGGTGGGGGTGGGGGGAGAGAAGGAAGGGAAACCCCAAGCCTTCCCTCCCCCAAATCCTCAAGGGGATGGGTCGAGGGGCTGTTTCTCTCTCCTTTGCAGGCCTCAGTGTCTGCTCCTGTCAAGGCTGAAAAGGGTTAAGAATGGCCTCAAGGTCCGGTGTGTAATCCTGTCTATCCCAGAGTGGCCCTAAACTTTGCCCTACCTCCTTCAAGAACACCTTTTCCTCTTGCAGCCAACAGTCTTCAGATAATTTAAATAGGATCCTCTGTGGGGCTGGAAGGCTGGGGTCCTTGCATAATCTTCTGTTTGGGAATGGGAAAAGTGTAAACAATTTGACCTAGGGCTCCAGACACCTGGATTTGCATCCCCACTCTACCCATCCTTGTTGATTTGACTGATCTGGGTAAATCCATTCAAGTCCGCAGGCCTTCCCTTCCTGACAAGAAAAATCCAATCCAGTGTGATGAGAGATGGCAGAAGCCGGCTGAGAATTCAGGGGGAGCCCATCAGAAAATGCTAGCTGAGTCCAGTTTCATGGCTTAAGAATGCTTGGGCACCTCTATGGAAACATAGAGAAGTCCTTCCCGATCTCCCCATTCTTCTGTCAGTTTCTACCACACCAGAGCTGCAGCCAGTGAGCCTATGGTCCTTTCCTACCTCAGCCTGAGACCAATAGTTCAGATTTGCAGGAGGGAGTATAGTGAGTGGGTCTAAGCTGTTACCTAGGAGAAGGAGCAGACCAGACATCTAAGGCAGCTGCTGGAAAGGTTTCACAGGGGCTGTGGTGTGAAGTGCAGACACAAAGTACATATGTGCTAGCCTGTTGGGACAAATGAGAGAAATCCCAGAGGGTGGTGGTGACAGCTCACTCTCAGCCACCGTACTCTCAGGAAGATTGAAGTTTGGGCTTCTATCAAATTCTCGGTTTTAGAATTAGGGTAAAAAATTTAGCAGGCATCTTGTTAGACTTCCATATTTTACACGGGAGAAAGTTATATCACAGCGATGGCCAGCGTCTTCACCAGGGTCCTGCAGCTGGTTAGCAGGCCTGGACTGGTGGGTTTCTACTGAATCGACGTGTTTATTGGGGAAGTCCATGGCCCAGGTGGCTGTTACTATAGCCTGTGGGGTAATTAATCAACTCAAGTTCTCATGGCCTAGGTTCTGCTTCCCTGGGAGGTTTGAAAACAAGAAAACCCTTCACCACCACACTGCAGGGCTGAGGGGGTGTGCTGAGGGGAACTCACCCCATAGGGCAAGTACCAGTGAAACCACCTTCGGGTGGGTCCTCATTTGGGCTTTCAGCCAAGGCCTTGCTCCTCCGGTGCCTCATTCTTGTGTCTTCCTTGGGGTCAGGAGCTGGTGCATCCATCACTCTTGTGTTCGGGAACATTTTCTTGAACTGTTCTGCTCCACCCTAGCCCCCTTTGACCAAACAGATAACTTTGGGAGGTCACATTCCGACAGAGAGCCAGGCTCTCAGGCCCATTTACCTTGGTCAGAATGCTTCATCCACACACATGGATGACAAAGTAGATACCCATGACCCCGCCTAAAAACTAAAATAAATGAAAACAAAAATGCTTCATTAAAAATCAGATTAGAGCAGAACCCCCTTTTGGGCCTACTGCAGATGCAAAAAGTCGGTGGCTCTAGAAATAGCACATGGAAGGACGAGAGGCCCAGTTTCTCTCTGGCACCTACTTACTGTGTGACGCTAAGCCAACATATCTGTCTCTCTGTCCTTAATCTTTCTCCTCTAAAGGAGGAATTTGTCTATTTCTGTGAACTATTTATAGATGAATAAATCACTTTGGGAACTGTTTTCTCTCTTTAAGACCTGAGACAGGATCTAAGCATGAATCTCATGGTGTCTTGGTCCCTGGGACATTGTCCTCCCTGAGGAAGGGTGAAAGGGGTGGCGCTTTTCAGGGGTTACTAGTTATCACTTCTCTCCCAAGCCCAGAGCCCCAGTTACAGTCCCCACCCATGCATCTGTCAGAGAAGGCCACTTCTCCAGCTTCTCATCCACTTAAGGGACTGGTGGACATTTGATATCCCTTGTAGGTTCCACTATCCTAATAGAATTCCCCTTTTTCTGTGTGGAAAGCACCCATGGCTGGGACAGTTGGACCACTTTGCAGGCAGAGTGCATATCTGGGCAGCTCCTAGGAAGCTATGCAGGGGTGGTGTTTGTATCTGTGCCTAAGATACATTAGAAAGGTGGCCAGCAGCATCTGGGCGTGCATTCAGGGTGGTGGCAGGGGCCACCTCTATTGCTGCAGGAGCCCGGACTCTCTGGGTATCTGGAGTCTGGTTCAGAAGGCTGATGCCTCCCTTGGAATCAGAATCAGTCCCTCCTGTTTATGTTTCAAATCTCATTTCCTCTTTGGCCTGGAAGCTCTGGTTTTCTCCCCAGAATCAGGTTGCTGGGCGACTGATTGTTGGGTTTCCATGGCCTGAAGTAACTGCTCCAAGATCCTAGAAGTTGTTTTTAAACTCTTTAGAAGTAACTGCCTTTCCCCATCTTCCTGTGTTGGTCACCTCTGTACAGAGTTAGGACGCTGCTATGGGAAACAGTGTTTTAGCCCCGGGCACCTGTTGGCGTTATCTGCACTGCCCTGCTCCTCCAGCCGGCCCTTTATCTCCACTCAGGACAGCAGCTGGGGTGCTTTTGAGTTGAGCAAACGCCAGAAGCTCAGCCTTCTTGTCTCACTCACCCAGGCTTCTTTGGTGGCTGTGTCTCTGGATTTACTTGCTACCTTCTCTTCCTTCCCTGTACTGCAGCCGTGTTCTTATTTATCCTCTCCCCATCTAAACCCCAGGCTCTTGAGGGTAAAGACTGCCTTGTTCCATTCTGGATTTTTTTTTTTTTTTTTTTTTTTTTTTTTTTTTTTTTTGGGAGGGGAGGCAGTTTAGAGACAGGGTTTCTCTATGTAACAGCCCTGGCTGTCCTGTAACTGGGTCTGTAGACCAGGCTGGCCTTGAACTCACAGATATACTCCTGCCTCTGCCTCCCAAGTGCTGGGACTAAAGGTGTGCACCGCCACCACCAGGCCGATTCTGGATTCTTACTACCTGGGGGCAGGAGTAGATGTTGATTGAATGTTGCCTAGAGAGCAAAGTTTTCTGGGTGGAGGCACAATGTCCTTTCTGTCTCCATCCTTCATAAGCTTGTTCTGTGAAACTGTATCCTAGCCTTGCCTGCCAGATACCCCTCCCTCAAGCCAGCCATCCCTTCCTTAGAGCCACATGTGCCTGCTACCCCCAGCATCTGGATTTCTTCTCTTCGTCTGTGGCACATTTAGACTCCATTCAGGTCTTCCCTAGGCTAATCCCAACCACTGGTGAGGAACCTTAAAAAGAAAAATTAGAGCCAGGTGACAAAAATTAGTTAAAGGTATTTTTCTAACATCATAAGCTCTCAAATTTGAAAAGAAGGCAGTATAGTGTCCTGAGCTAGAACAGAGAGAGGGGGGAGGTTAACATGTTTATTCCTTTATGCTTCAGACAATGCTCAATAGAATTGTAGTTTAAGTATTGACCTAATATTACTTTGGTATCAAAATGCCATTTTTTACTATGGGGCAGCATGGCCAGCCTAGAGAAAGCTTAGGAGAGCTGCTTGCTTTGGATCCTAGTTAGATGATGATGCATGGTGTTTCAAAAACCCTTTGGAATAAATGTCATGCTTTGGATGAGGAAGTAGCACCCATTATAGTCCACTCCCTGCCCCTGACTTCTTTTCTTTTCCCTTCCTTTTCTTTTCTTTTCTTTTCCCTTCCTTCCTTTTCTTTTCCCTCCCTCCCTCCCTCCCTCCCCCCTCCTCAGAAGCCAGGAGGAGGTGACCAGACCTCAAACCTGACAAAATGCCTGTCGTGCTGGCAAGGTCCTTCCATCTCTCCTGATCTATGCCCCAAAATACCTTAGTAATTCACCTCCTCTTTTCTCCTGAAGCCCACAGCTAGGCAGGCTTCAATAAATGAAGCAATCATATTCTTGTTCTGTTTTGTTTTTAGACAGGTTAACCTTAAACTCATTATGTAGCCAAGTCTAGCCTTGAACTTCTAATCCTCCTGCCTCTACATCCTGGGTTCAGAGGTTGCAGACACACTTATACTACTGAGTCTAGCTTCTTTCTGATTTTTTTTCTTTTTTAAATTTTATTTTATTTTTGAGACAGGGTTTCTCTATGCAGTCCTGACAACAACCTTCTCTCTTCTCTCTGTCTCTGTCTCTCTCTGTCTCTGTCTCTCTCTGTCTCTGTCTCTCTCTCATGTGTGTTTGTATGTGGTGTGTGTGTGTATGTGTGTGTGTGTGTGTGTGTGTGTGGTGTGTGTATGTGTGTGTGTGTTTGTGTGTGGTGTGTGTGTGTTTGTGTGTGTATGTGTGTGTGTGTGTTTGTATGTGGTATGTGTGTGTGTGTTTGTGTGTGGTGTGTGTGTGTTTGTGTGTGTATGTGTGTGTGTGTGTTTGTATGTGGTATGTGTGTGTGTGTTTGTGTGTGGTGTGTGTGTGTTTGTGTGTGTATGTGTGTGTGTGTGTTTGTATGTGGTATGTGTGTGTGTGTTTGTGTGTGGTGTGTGTTTGTGTTTGTATGTAGTGTGTGTGTGTGTGTGGTGTGTGTGTGTGTTTGTATGTGGTGTGTGTATGTGTGTGTGTGTTTGTGTGTGGTGTGTGTTTGTGTTTGTATGTAGTGTGTGTGTGTGTGTGTGTGTGTGTGTATGGTATGTGTGTGTTTGTATGTAGTGTGTGTGTGTGTGTGTGTGTGTGTGTGTGAGTCTGTGGTATGTGTGTGTGTTTGTGTGTGGTACCTCAGGGTCTGTCTTCACCTTCCACCTTGTTAGAGGCCTGGTCTCTTAATGCTGCCTCTACTAGGGCAGCTGCTTCAAAGCTTCTAGGATTCTCTTGTCCTGCCTCCCATCTCACAATAGGAGTACTGGGGTTCTAGACAATGTGCTACTAAGTCCAGCTTTTCACATAGGTCTGGGGATTTGAACTCAGGTCTTTATGCTGGGACTAGAAGTGCTCTGCTCACTGAGCTGTATCTCCAGCCCCTCTTTCTGATTTTTTGAGATAGGCCTCAAACTCAAAGAGATCTTCTTGCCTCAGCCTCCTGAGTGGTGGTATTATAGGCATGAGCTAATGTGCCTCTCTAGATCCTTTAAAAACAAAACAAAAACCCCAGAAATGTCAGATTAGTGAATTCCTGTAATCCTATCACTCAGGAAGCTGAAGAAGCAGAAGGATCCCAGATTCATGGCCAGAATAGACTACACGGTGAATTCAAGATCAGCCTACACTGCTACAAAGCAAGTCCCAGGCAAGCCCGGGCACATAGTAAGACCTTGTCATTAAAGAACAAACTTCAAACTACCATAGTGGAGATAAGAGCCATCACATAGAGCATTTATTTCCTGTCTCCCATAGAAACTCTGCTGGCCTTATACTAAGTAGAAAGTTAGATTTTTAAGCAACTTTTAAAGTGAATTTTAAAAATGTAAAGTTCTTCTCATAGACTTGGTAACAGACTATCAGGCTATGAATTAGGCTGTTCTTTCTAGGACCTTGAGTTTGGATTGGTGGTATAGCTCAGGCTGTCCTTGAACTCACAGCAGTCCTCCTGCCTCAGCTTTCTGAGTTTGGGATTCCAGGCGTGTATCACTGTGTGCAGCAGCCATTGAGTTTGGACAGCTATACTATAAAGAACCCTGGTGGACTTCCTTTCCTCATGCATTACCTTGGAAGTACAAAAGTAGCCACAGTCTGAGCAAGACACCAAAGGGTCAGCCACAGACATAAAGAGAAAGGAGCCCTGTAGACTCCTCCATTCATCAAGGTAACATCGCCCAGTTCAGAGGCAGCAAGCCAAGAGCCGACGTCACACACAGACAATTGCCTCCTCAAAATTCCAGGATCAGCAGTTCTAGGAAGACTCGGAGGACCAGCATGTGGAGGTCTTGGAAATGAGAGGTGGGCCCTGCTTTGGTCTAGGAGGCTGTGATTTCCTGCATGCCGAGAAACAAGTAGAGACTCCTTCCTCCTTCCTCTAAGTA